GTGGCCTCACAACTCCAGGCATTCTTGGTAGACATGGATTATCTGGATCCGGCACAGTCTGGCTTTAGGCCGGGGCATGGTACCGAGACAGCTTTGGTCGCCTTAGTGGATGATCTGCGTCGGGAGCTCGACAGGGGGAGTGTGTCCCTGTTGGTGCTGCTCGACCTCTCAGCGGCCTTCGATACCGTCGACCACGGTATCCTTCTGGGACGCCTCACGGGGATGGGTCTTGGAGGTACTGTTCTGCAGTGGCTCCGCTCATTCCTCAAGGGCCGGTCTCAGAAGGTGTTACTGGGAGACTCCTGTTCAACCCCACAACCTTTGTCTTGTGGGGTTCCTCAGGGTTCAATACTGTCTCCCATGTTGTTTAACATCTACATGAAGCCGCTGGGCGAGATCATCCGGAGTTTCGGAGTGCGATGTCATCTGTACGCAGATGATGTCCAACTCTGTCACTCCTTCCCACCTGCTACTAAGGAGGCTGTTGAGGTCCTGAACCGGTGCTTGGCCGCTGTGACGGTCTGGATGGGGGCGAACAAATTGAAATTGAATCCAGACAAGACAGAGGTACTCCTGGTTAGTCGCAAGGCCGAACAGGGTATAGGGTTACAGCCTGTGTTGGACGGGGTCGCACTCCCCCTGAAGACGCAGGTTCGCAGCTTGGGTGTGATCCTGGACTCATCGCTGAGCCTGGAACCCCAGGTTTCGGCGGTGACCAGGGGAGCATTCGCACAGTTAAAACTTGTGCGCCAACTGCGACCGTACCTTGGGAAGTCTGACTTGGCCACGGTAGTCCACGCTCTGGTTACATCCCGTCTTGACTACTGCAACGCTCTCTACATGGGGTTGCCTTTGAAGACAGCCCGGAAGCTCCAATTAGTCCAACGGGCGGCAGCCATGATACTAACAGGAGCGGGGCGCAGGGAGCATACAACTCCTCTGCTGCACCAGCTCCACTGGCTGCCGATCTGCTACCGGGCTCAATTCAAAGTGCTGGCGTTGGCCTTTAAAGCCCTAAACGGTTCTGGCCCAACTTATCTATCCGAACGTATCTCAACCTATCAGCCCACCAGGACCCTAAGATCTTCTGGGGAGTCCCTGCTCTCTATCCCGCCGGCTTCACAAGTGCGGCTGGCGGGAACGAGAGACAGGGCCTTTTCTGTGGTGGCCCCTCGGCTTTGGAACACCCTCCCCATAGAGGTAAGATCAGCCCCCTCGCTGATGGTGTTTCGGAAAAGATTGAAGACATGGATGTTTAAACAAGCATTCGGTTAATCCGTTGCAACGAATTATGATGACTAAAGGACTGGTAATCATGGACGATGAATTTGGATTGCGACTCCAGTTACGAGATGCATTGGATGGTTATTGGTGGCCCAATAATTTGTATTGTATATGTGTTTTATGCTTTTAAACTGAATATTGTTGTTTTTTAAGTGTTGTAAACCGCAATGAGTCGCCGATTTAGGCTGAGATATTAGCGGTATACAAGCGCATTAATAAATAAATAAAATAAATAAATAAATAACCCTAGCGCTTAGAGGAAAAAACTAACAAATGAATGCACTGTTAGGCTTATTTCTATTGCGCAAAATCTCTTGGTTCTCAACCAGCCCCAACTACAAAATGTCAAGACAAAATATAATAACTCCCTTGTTGAAACAACTTCACTGATAATTAGTCTGTTTCCATGCATGATCCAAAGAGTTAGTTGTGACCTATAAAGCCATATGCAGCTTAATTCAAGACTCTATCAGAAAGGACTTGAACATATCATAAATCAGCAAGGACTTGAACATACGCAACAATCTCTCATTCCAAAATTCTCACAGACTCAGTTGATGGGGATACGGGAAGAAGCTTTCTCAGTGGTTGCTCCAAAACTATGACATTCCCTCTAAGGAAAGACTCAGGGATCATCTACATGTTCAACTAAATCCAGAGCCAGGAGAGTTGCAATACTTTGGACTGGCCCTTCTCATTTCTATCTCACAGTAGTAATAGGGAAGAGTCCAATGATTATCGAGTGGAGCCAATGTTACCCCACATCATGGACAGGAAGTACCTATGTGTCGTCTCAACATCCAGGTTCGATTACTGGTGCAATGCTGGCTTTGAGCCAGTGTAGACAAACTGTTGCTTGGCTTCCCTCTGCTCTCTTTTCAGCTGCAAGCAAATACTTTTCCTATCTAAACAAGACTTAGGCATGTAACTGGTTGTGGAAGAAAAGTGATCAATTGATGTGCTTTATTTTCTGCTATATGATCACTATTTTTAACTGTTTAAAATTAATGCTTTAATTTGATTGGTTATTTAGTGGTATTAAAGTTTTCTCCTATATAGTGTTTTACCTATTTTGTTTTCACTTATACTAAGGGATGCTTTGGGTCCCGTATTGGAATAAAGGTGAGCTATAAATTCCATAAATAAAATAAATAAAAATGTTGGACTTGTTTGCTTGGAGAAAGGCAAGATAAAAAATTAAATAAATCAACTGCCTGTGCCCACAGGATCACATTGAAATGCAAAATGTTCAAACAACTTGTCATGTATCAGATTTTTCTCAGCTTGAAATTAAACTGTGAATTAACACTGGCAGTGAAGCTGGATGTACTACAGTGAGAATTTAGCAAAAGAAAGTTGAACTGTTTATATAAGATATATCTGGCAGAGCTCTTTAGATAAATTTCCTACTATTTTTTCAGCGGTAGTCATTTTTTTTGTTAAACATACAGAAAGTATGTCTATTTTCTTGTCATTATTACACATATTCCATTGACATATATTCCATTCAGAGGAATAGGCTAACAATGAATACACTACAAAGCATATTCCAATGGGCTGCTGTGAGTTTTTTGGGCTGTATGGCCATGTTCTAGAAGCATTCTCTCCCTTCTCCCACCATTTCTTTCTCCCACCTTGGACATTCCACACATATATAAACCTCACTTGCCTAGTTTTCAACAGACCTCACATCCTCTGAGGATGCCTGCCACAGATGTGGGAGAAACATCAGGAGAGAATACTTCTGGAACAACACCCCGAAAAACTCACAGCAACCCAGTGAATCCAGCCATGCAAGCCTTTGTCAACACATATTCCAATGATTCTCAAGTGGAAATGTATTTCATTAAATACCAATGAAAAATCAGGCATGTCGTAGTATTTTTTGTTTCTATGTGTATTTGTGAAAGCTGGCAGGTGAGGAACACTGACAGGAAGAAAATCAATTTATCTGGAATGTGGAGCTGGAAGAAAGTTCTACAGTTATGATGGACTACCAATAAGATAAATACATGAGTTCAAGAACGAATCAAGCCTGAATTCTCACTTGAACCTAATGATTAAATGGAATATATTGTGCTTCAGATATGTCATCTGATGATACAACTCTGGAAAAAATGTTACTGCTCAGTAGATTTGAAGTAATTGCAAAAAGAAGCTTGCATAAAAGATGGAGTGACTCAATCATGGCAGTCCTGAATTTGCAAAACATGAGCACAGCAGTCACAGCCAGGGCACTTGAAGTACCCATTATTACAGTAGCCATTTGTCAAAATTGCCTTGATAGTACAAATGAAGAACTTCAAAGAGGTTCATTTAAACAGTGGCTGCAGAAGTGGATCAGAATCATAGAATCATAGAGTTAGAAGAGACCTCATGGGCTATCCAGTCCAACCCCCTGCCAAGAAGCAGGGAAATCGCATTCAAAGCACCCCCTATAGATGGCCATCCAGCCTCTGTTTAAAAGCCACCCAACTCTCTGGGGCAGAGAGTTCCACTGCTGAACAGCTCTCACAGTCAGGAAGTTCTTCCTAATGTTCAGATGGAATCTCCTTTCCTGTAGTTTGAAGCCAGTAGTATAGCATTGTTCTGCAGTGCTATAATACTAAGTAGAGGGAGCATTGGCAGCTTCCATTTTCAGTTGGGAGTGAACCTGCTCTGGGTTTTTGACTGCATTTAAAGACAGCATCACAAGTGGTGAAATCCATTTCCAAAACATGTCAGATAGTTCCTTTGAAATTTGGAGTATATTATCCACCCGGAATAATATGTGAGAGAAGTGATCCAGCAGCTAGACGAGATACACAATTACAACTAAAAATACAAGCCTCCGGAACAATCTCACCTCCCAAAACTCTTCATTCACCCTCAGGTTTAGAGTAGGGATACTTTGAGTAATTTAGATCTTCTAACCAAGAGTCCAATTGAAACTAAATTACTATAGCATAAGCTTCTGCTGACTACAGTCCACTTCGTGAAATTCACAAAATGTCATAAAGGGATTACTGCTGGGAGATAATCCCCGCTGGGTGTTGATGTGGGGTAATCACTGGAACAGTATAGGACAAGTATCCCTATATAAGAGTTCTTTCTCCCACCCTGGACCTTCCACAGATATATAAACCCAATTTTCCTAGTTTCCAACAAACCTCACGACTTCTGAGGATGCTTGCCACAGATGCAGGTGAAACCTCAGGAGAGAATGTTTCTAGAATATGGCCAATCAGCCCAAAAAGCCTACCACAACCCAGTGATTCTGGCAATGAAAGCCTTCGGCAATACATTATCCCTGAGATACTTTGTTTAATAGAAGGTCAGGGTCCAGAAAAGGGAACTTTTCAAAATCTCTTGGGTGCTTTCTCCTCAACTAAATATCACTACCAACAATCAATGCTGTTCATTACTGATTAAGTTTGCAAGCCTAAAAGGACTACAGCCACTTACCCTTTCGACAGAAATTAACCCACTCTCAGATTCTGCATCAATGCTGCAGTTGCATACTTGCAGAAATCATGATATTTTAGGAGATACTACAAGACTGTTTGGTCCAAAAAATCCATTAAATATATAGACGTCTGTTATGGGCTGCATTTTAAGTGTCTAGAACCATTTACTGTAAAAATGGCTCATATAAAAATTTCATTAACTCTTCTTTTCGAAAAGAACAGTGAACAGCTTGAATACATGATGAGCACTAACTGGAAAAAAGGACATACCAATAAACACGGGGATGGAAAAGAAGCAAACATCCAAAGGCAAAGTGAAAGATCAGTTCCGCTTTCTGAAAAATCAATGTTGATATACATTACAATGCAATCCTATGCAGATTTGCTAAGTAAACATCACAGAATGTGATTCACTTCCAAGCAAGTGACTGTAACCTTAGAATGACTGTTGAAAGGTGGCTAAAAATGCATTGAATAAATTATGCCCATGTGTACTACAGAATACTGCAGAGTCTCATGTTCAAAGCCAAGCTCAACATAATGAGTAATTTAGATCCAAAGAAATGATTATAAAGAACTTTAACTATGGGCATTAGAATTGTGGTCTGCCAATGGTGAAAGGCATGCGTGGGAGTCTATGTTCCTCATTTTGATCTAGAACTCGTAAAGGTCTAAACCAGGCATGGGCAAATTTTGGGCCTCCGAGTGTTTTGGACTTCAGCTCCCACAATTCCTAACATGCCTAGTTTAAACCATACAACCATTCCCACATCTATATAAATAAAAATGTAATGTTCGTTTGTGGGATTAACATAACTCAAAAACCACTGGACGAATTGACACCAAATTTGGACACTAACCCTAGGAGTGACCATCACAAAAAAACCTGATTTTGTCATTTGGGAGTTGTAGTTGCTGGGATTTATAGTTCACCTACAATCAAAGAGCATTCTGAGCTGCACTGATGATGGAATTGAACCAAACATGGCACACAGAACTCACATGACCAACAGAAAACACTAGAAGGGGGTTGGTGGGCATTGACCTTGAGTTTGGGAGTTGTAGTTCACCTATATCCAGAGAGTGATGTGGATGGATCTGGAACAAACTTGGCATGAATATTCCATATGCCCAAGTACGAACACAGATTGAGTTTGGGGAAAATAGACCTTGACATTTGGGAGTTGTAGTTACTGGGATTTATAGTTCATCTAACATCAAAGGGTATTCTGAACCTCCCAAAAAAGACAGAATTGGGGCAAACTTCCCACACAAAACCCCCATGACCAACAGAAAATACTTAAAGCCATGCAGTCCAACTCCCTTCACCAGGGGAAGGAAACATAATCAAAGCCCTCCTGACAAAGAGCCATCCAGCCATAGATGTAGATAGATATATATGATTCACACACAGAGAGAGATATAGTGTCATAGATTTGAAAGGGACCCCCAAAGAAGGACAATTATATGTTTCATGTTCCAGAGTAGGCAAACCAGACAATCTCCACATCAACACTGACAAAGAAACAGCAAGAAATATTGTTTACCCACAAGCATAAAGATATTACATATATTAGAAACCAACACTTTCTAATTACTTTATTTTCTAGATCACCAGACTGGGCCACCGCAACAAGTTATGGCAGGCTAGACAACAGAAGTTTTCTGGCTCTTTTTAGGTCCTCCAATGTGATTCTATGGTCTGCTTCGGTCAGAAGTAGACCAAGGAATCATACTGGAGGACCCACAAAGAAAAGTGTACTTTCCTCCAGAGTGACCTAAAGATTTCTGGAGACAACATATTAATTGAACCCACAAAAGTTAAACCCACAAATGTGGAGGGCTGACTATTCAGTTAATCTGTGCCACTTTTTCCTGTTTATTCTCTTTCCTTTTCAAAAGAGAAATGAGATCTGTGCTCTCTGACCAACAGCTATTGAAAATGTATACTGTCTCATGCTCCTTTCTTACCACTTCTGAATGATGACATTAGGAGTCTTCTTGCATTGATAGATGCAAAAGTTTTTCTGTAATGCTTCATGATGGAGGGTAGAATTATCAGTCCCATATTAACTCATTATATATTATATATATTAGCACCGTATTTCTAAGAGCAGTCTTCTCTACCAAGCTGACTTTTCTATGCTTCACTACATTCCTCCTCATCTTCACTATCTTCTGATGATACTGTGAACCAGCACACTAATCAACTTGAGTTTTAGGCTTCTTTTCCTGTTGGAAACATGACCTTCCTTGCATACAAAAGCCCTACCTTTGCATTTTGCACAGGCTTACTGAATCTGTGTTTGGTCTAGCAGTGCCCTCTGTGTCACCTCCACCATCCTGCTTCAATTCCAGCCCTGCTGCTAATAATCTGTGACTTTCTGATCAGGCCCATCAAAGGCATCTCTGGAACGCAAACCCAGACAGAGATGCCAACCACTGCATTTCCCCTCATCCACCGCTTCTCTTCATCCACCAGGACCTCTATGGCCTTCTCGAGGGGCAGGAAAACAGAAGGGAGAAGAGGGGCTCCAGCTTGTTTCTGTTAGACACATTGATTTCTAAGATAACCTAAGCCAAAAGTGTCTTAAGCCCCTTCTGAAAATCCGAAAGCAAAACAGGCTGAAAATGCTAGTTAACCCAGTGATGAGGCGAGAAGGAACAGCTGTGTAAATGCAGACTCGGTCACTCACACGAACCCCCGCTGATCTCCCTCAGCTGTCCCAGGCGGCAACTGTCCTATCAAAGACTCTCAGGGGGCTTATTTAGAATCCAGCGCCTTTATTCTTGCCTGGGAGATTGAGTGTCAGGAAAACCTGGGGCTTTGTTTGGAAGAACAACAAGTTATGGCAGGCTAGACAACAGCACAGGAGCCACCAAACTGTTTTTTCCCTGTCTGGGTGATGCCTCAGTCCCTTCCCCCTCTTCCCTGCATCTGAGAGGTACACAGAGGAAGGGCTGGATCACAGCTTTTATTTCAAGACCCTAAAGCAGAGGTTTCCAAACTAGGTGTCTAAGACACGTTCGTGTGTCGGCTGTGGCATTTAGGTTTGTTGCATGAACATAACAAGAAATGGCTGTGTCTATGTGTAAGGAGCAATAAATCATATATATTTTTATAAAAAATAAATGGGATATGCTGTGTCCTCACACATTATTACAATTTGTGTATGCACCTGTATCTCTTGTAAGGGGTTGGTTTAATCCAGGCATGGGCAAACTTTGACTTAAACTCCCAGAAATCCCAGCCAGCTAACCAGCTGTCAAAAACTGTGGGAGTTGAAGTCCAAAACACCTGGAGGGCCGAAGTTTGTGCATACCTGGTTTAACTTTCAGTTTGCTCAGAAAACTGAATAACTGCTTCATGAAATGATACAAAAGTGTATCACCAACATGAAATGTTTGAAAAGTCCTGCCCAAACAGCACCAGATCCTGGCTGATCTTGGAAGCTAATGACTTAGATGAAAGGTTAGAAGGTATGATCGTCAAGTTTGCAGATGACACGAAATTGGAAGAGATAGCTAATACTCCAGAAGAGAGGAGCAGAATTCAAAACGATCTTAACAGATTAGAGAGATAGGCCAAAACTAACAAAGTGAAGTTCAATAGGGACAAATACAAGATACTCCACTTAGTCAGGAAAATGAAATGCAAAGATACTCCCTCAATATGTTTTTAACTAAGTCTTCACCTTCTTTTCCCCTTCTCCTACAGCACAAATTGGGCCCTTCCTCTTTACATGATCATCGAGTTTGCAGACAACACCAAATTGAGCGGGAAAGCCAATACTCCAGAGGACAGAAGCAGAATTCAAAATGATCTGCACAGATTACAGAGATGGGCCAAAGCTAACACAATGATGTTCAACAGGGACAAATGCAAAATACTCCACTTAAGCAGAAAAAATGAAATGCAAAGATACAGAATGGGGGACAATGCCTGGCTCGAGAACAGTACATGTGAAAAAGATCTTGGAGTCCTTGTGGACAAGTTAAACATGAGCCAATAATATCCTGTGATAGTTTTAAAAAGCCGGTGGGATTTTGGTCTGCATAAATAGGAGTGTAGTGTCTAGGTCCAGGGAAGTCATGCTACCCCTCTATTCTGCCTTGGTCAGATCACACCTGGAATACTGTGTCCAATTCTGGACACTGCAGTTTAAGGGAGATGTTGACAAGCTGGAATGTGTTCAGAGGAGGGTAAGTAAAATGATCAAGGATCTGGAGAACAAGCCCTATGAGGAGTGGCTTAAAGAGCTTGGCATGTGTAGCCTGCAGAAGAGAAGGCTGAAATGAGAAATGAGGGCCATGTATAAATATGTGAGGGGAAGTCATAGGAAGGAGGAAGCAGGCCTGTGTTCTGCTGCCCTGAAGACTAGGACGTGGAACAATGGCTTCAAACTACAGGAAAGGAGATTCCACCTGAACATTAGGAAGAACTTCCTGACTGTGAGAGCAGTTCAGCAGTGACAGCAGTGTCCCGGAATGTGGTAAAGGCTCCTTCTTTGGAGGCTTCTAAACAGAGGCTGGATGGCCATCTGTTAGGGGTGATCTGAATGCGATTTTCCAGCTTCTTGGCAGGGGGTTGTATTGGATGACCCACAAGGTTTCTTCCAACTCTATGATTCTAAGCAGAGTCAGCCGTTGTTAGTAGTTAGATAGGAGACCACCAAGGAATACTAGGTAAAGTAAGGGCCAGGCAAAATCACTGCTGAGTATTTCTTGCCAAAGAAAATCCCATGGAATTCATGGAGTCACCATATGTTGACAGGCAACTTGAAGGTACACACAACTATAGGGCCCAGTTACAATTTTGGCCCTTGAAGTGCTGGCCTTGTTTGCATTTCACCAAAGAAGAAGGAGGAGGAGGAGGAGGAGGAGGAGGAGGAGGAAGAAAAATGAGAGGGAATCCAAAGTAGTTCATATTTATGAAAGGGCCTTGACACATTTTGAGCCTTGGCTGTTCCTCACGGTATGTCAAAAAAGACATATGTATTTCTAAATATCAAACAGAAGCCCTAGCAACTACAAAAGGAATTACAATTGTAACATAAAGTCTAGGTTATGTGGCAATACCTTATGTGCAAGTTGTTGACTCGTTAGCACATAAACACAAACATTTCAGAACCATTTTTTTATTCTGGAATGCATAGCAAATAGTACATATCTAAGTTTTACTGACCGAGTGATTACTGTGTGGAAACATATCTCCACACAGGACCAGTCAGGACCAATTCTGAACATTAAATTATCGGTATATATAACATAACTGTATCAATGCTGCTTTTCATGGAAACCCCACTCATAAATGTTTCTTTTCTTTTGTTAAAGG